CCCCCCCCCCGCCTCTTTTCTTATATTCTTTTTTCTTTTCTCGATAAAAAAAAGTTGGACCATTTCTCGATTTATGCGTGTCATCCTTGCGCAGGGGCCATGCTAATCTTCTCTGTATCGTTCCAGTTTTAACAGATGTCCCGAAGGACTCTTTTCTTATATTCAATTTGTCAATGTTGGTGATTTTTGCAGGCCCGCAGAGGAGGCCTACACGGTTGAGCTGAACGAAGTGCCTGAAGTAGTGGTGGATGGCTATGACTGGGAAGAAGAGAACATCATCGTAGTCGAGGATATCGACGTGATCCGACTGAAACTTGGAAAACTAATCCAGGAATACAAGGTTTGTCTTCCAACCCCACCTCTCTAGGGGGGGGTACTAAATACCCCTGTACGTTCTTCGAATAGGGCCCTCCTGGCTTGTTCGAGAGGTTTGTTGAATTGGTGTCCACTGTCCATGTATGCATGTTGGATTGAAACCAGTGACTATATTAGTCACTTGGCTCAAACAGAACGCCCGGTCATTATGGCTGTATTTGGCTGTATTTGGGGCAATTTGCGGTCTAGATGACGGGGCGTTTTATTTGGGTGAAGACGGTAGTCACTTGGCTGTGTCATGTATTCATGCTAAGTGAATTTAATGCTGTAGACCACCCTTGTCACCACTTGCTTCCCCGCCGTCGCAGATATAAATGGCAGCTAACGGAGTCTGTCTGTAACGGAGTGTGTAATGGAGTCTGTAATGAACTGACATTTCGTTAAAACTGACTTTTTTTTTTTTTTTTAATTCCCAAAAGTGGACTTAGTCAAAATTTCATTGCTCATTGGGTGGAAACACTGGAAAGTGGTTATCTCACTTTGACCATGTAATGTATGTCAATGTACAGTACCGTCAAAATACATCCGAGGGTCCAAAAAAAAAGAAAAAAAATTGAGGTACATCCGATCATCGGGCTTCATCACGACGCCCGACCATCGGATTGTCCGACGTCATGGGGACGAAAAAAACAGTACAAAAAAACGCTACAAAATACTGTTTTTTTCGTATGTTCAATTTCGTGAAAAATGTCAGTTTTAACGAAATGTCAGTTATTCGGGGAGTCTGTAACGGAGCCTGTTTCCCTACCAAATTGCAGGTCATCGGTTCGATTCCCAACAGTGACCAGAAGCAGCAAACAAGACTACCAAATCCAGAAAGATGAGAGAGAGAGAGAGAGAGAGAGAGAGAGAGAGAGAGAGAGAGAGAGAGAGAGAGAGAGGAACAAAAATTACAAATCATTACGAATTGTTGCAAAATTGGTAAATGCATTTCATTTTATTCATTATATTGAAGAAACCAAAGTCTTAACAAGGGTTCAAGTCCCAAGGACTGAACCAATCGAAGGGAAAAAGAACGGCTGAAACAAACTCAACATGTTAACCTCCTAAATCCACGCTCTTGTATGATATACATGCACTTTGTTTTAAGGAGCTATCTAAATTGGGCAGAAATATTTTATTAAATTATTACTGGTTCATAAATGTTGCTTTTCTTTTCTGTCCTCCCCCTTCCCCCTCCTTCCCTCTTCCCTACCTTCTCCCACCTTACCCCCCTACTACCGCTTATTGACACTGCAGATACACTTTCTGAATCCTCCGAGGGCACAAAAAAAGCTCCTTGTACTGGACGTGGATCACACGATTTTTCACTTCCAACCTCTTGCGCAGACGGCAGAAGAGCAGCAACGGCCCTGTGAGTTTTTCCTCGCTTGTTGCCCCCCCCCTCCTCACCCCCCCTGCCGCGCACCTTCTTTTCTCGGGTCTTTTCTTTTCGGTCTTTTGCTTTCTACGCCAGAACACATTGTCCCTTTTGCCTTTTCCTCTGTGCAAAGGGACTATGCATTGTGGCTGAAAAGGCAAAAACAAAAAGAGAGAAAACAGAAGACAAAGAAAGAGAGCAAAGAAACAGAGAGGAGAAAAGTGCTAACACCAGCGGCATCCGTCTCCTCTCTTGCTGCATCTCCTCCCCTGCAGCTGGATTAGCACTCTGACATTTTTCCCCTGCCACTGGTGGTAGCATTCCCTCATGTGCTTTTTGTTTTCCAGCTCCTCCTCCTCCTCCTCCTCTCGGCTACAAACGATATGTTCTTTAACTTCTTTTGGATTGTTACTCAATGCTATTACAGCCGTTGCTGTCATCGATTCGTTGCTTTATGTGACGTTCGTATGTGTCCTTGCTTTATCTGCCTTCTCCTCCTCCTCCTGCTGCTGCTGCTGCTGCTGATGTCAGGATTCTCTCACCTCCTCCTCCTCTTGCTCCTGGTGCTAGCATTCTCTTGTCTCCTCCTACTGCTGCTGCTTCTTTCCCACTCCTCCTCCTTCTCCTCCTCCTCCTCCACTCCCTCCTCTTCCTCCTCCTTTCCCCCCCTCCTAGCCTCCCCTCCGCTCGCTTTCCACTTCCTCCTCTTGGTCTGATCCACTGTTGAGGACATGCGGAATTCTCATACTGAATTGGTTCAGACAATCTGGACTTGATTTCGATCTTATGTGATAATTGAGAAAATCCAAAAATCGAGCTGGTTACAAAATCACGAGGTGCGGAGGGCCAAAATGAAAAAAGGGAGGTGGTGGGAAACAGATGATGGAAATGGATATCAGTGCCCAATCGCAGAAGGCCAAAAGACAGGCATCACTAAGTCCACAACGGGCCAAGGACCTAGCTCATAAATTCCAGAAAAAGACTCTAGCCCAGGGCAAAGTAGCTACTATTAAAGGAGCTCGGATGGTCTTTCATTGGTTTCGGGAGGGGCAGCGGGAGGTCCCCATGGGAGACCCATCAAGTAACCCCCATCTCAGTCTTCCGTAGAACCGGACTTGGGCGCTCCTACAGAAAGTAGAGGGCCTGCAAGGGAAAACCCAACACTTCCTGTTTCCCGGAGAAACTTCAGATTTTAAGGAGGGGTAGTATCTAGGAAACAGGGGGGGCGCCGGGGGGAAGGGTTCTGGGAAAGAAAGGAGGACGATGCACAGGCAGGAAGCAGGGCAGGTCCTCCTAAGCCTATTGGAAACCGATGTCCAAGCACAGTGGAAAAGAGCGCAGAGACAGATGAGACAGCGAGACAGCGACCGGACCAAGAACAGGAATTGAAAGACAGGTTTGAGCGCAGAATTCTGGGCAATGGCGAAGTAGCAACTATCGAGGCCTCGGGCCTCGTATTTCAGTGGAGACAGAGCGGATGAAGCGGCGACGGTAAAGGGAAAGAAGAGCAACAGCAGTAGGGTTTGGGGTTTAGGGTTTAAACCACCAGTGCACGGCCTCAGCCTTGCAGCAAAATAACTTGTCGCCACAAGAAGTAAAAGGCGGGCTCGGGGCCGGTTCGAGCGTCAGAACTTCTCAGAAGGTTCTCAAATTTTTGGGCCCATGTCAAATCCGTACGTCCCAAAAAAACAAAACAAGCTTTGGCCGTGATTGCAGTTGGATACAATTTTTGGAGTACTGCCCTCAGTGAGGGCACTTCGGCAGAACAAGGAACACGGGGAGCACGACTGTCAGACTCACAAAAAAAGAACAAAAAAAAAAAGCCAACAAAGCTTTGGCTGTGAATGTGGTTGGATGCATTTCAACGGCGCTAGTGTGGGTATGCCCTCAGCGAGGGCGTTTTGAGCAAGAGGAATATGCGCTGCCTTGCTGGCAGGGAAAGGAAGAAAAAAACAAAAGGAGAAAACCCCGTAATAGTGGTCAGATGCATTCTGGAAAGCGATTGTTTGAGTATGACCTCCATGACGTCCTTCCACGACATCCTTGATCTCTGGCATGCTTGTTCCTTTCTTTTTTTTTTCCCTTCAGGTAGACCGCCGACACCGGTGCCACGTCCGAAATTCCCACTGCAGGTACCCACATGCAGAAGGCTCGGAAAATAGCGGCGCGCAGTGGGGAGGTAGCTTCGGGATTTTAGGTGCGGGTGTACTGGTGGTTTAAGGAGACAGGAACCAAGGAAAAATAGCATCAATAGGCGTAAGGTTTTAGGGTTTAAGGAGAAGGGTCCAGGATAGGGAGAGGGGAGGGCCAGGGTAGACGGAGGGGAAAAAAAAAAGAAAATCGAAAGGGGGGGGGTTAAGGGGACAGGAATAGTCTGGTTTTACCTTCTGGGGGGTCAGTACCTTAGCTGTTCCTTTATTTCTGTCTGCCATTTCTTAGTCCAGTTTCCCTTTTGTTGAAGTTGCAGATAAGGGGATGCTGGACCTGGTTTCCACCTCGAGCCAAATCTGGGTAATGGCCCCAGCTCTGTCGGGTTGAGATGTTGAGGAATTTTCGGCCTCATGGATTTCTATACAATACAAGAGGATGCACGCCGCCTTAGCGGCGGGGTATAACAGCAGGGGAAACACACACATGCACACACACACACACACACACACACACACACACACACATACACACACACATATTGCATGAGAACAAATCGGAAGTCTCTTCCAGGGACCTGGGTGGGGCCGCGGGTGGGGAGGGCGGCTAAGGCAAAGACCGAGCATGCATCCCCTGGATAGGTTTAGGAGTACTGTTAGCTATGCTTGCAGGGGTCCCCTGGATAGGCTTAGGAGTAGTGTTAGCTATGCTTGCAGGGGTCCCCTGGATAGGCTTTAGGAGTAGTGGTAGGTAGATGGTGAAAGATAAAATCGAGAGAAGGAAAAAAGAAACTAACTTGTTTTTTTCCAGGTGAGGTGCGCTGAGCAGAGGGCCTCGCTCTACCACTCACCGAAAGTGCAAAATGAGAATGCATCTTCCCCTAGACCACGGGGAAATACATCGGTATATTTTTTGTCTTTTGTACATGTTGTGAGCAGCGGAGAGAGGCCAGGTGAGCCAATTTTTGGCTAGAACATGGAAAGATACGCCCTCATATCTTTTGCCTTTTGTGCATGTGGTGAAGTGCCCCAACGAATCTACATGTGGCATAGCATCCCCCCCCCAATAAAAAACAAAATCTATTGAAAACAGAATAACGAATCTGCGAAAAGAAAAAGAAAAAGAAAAAGAAAAACAACGCAATGTATCCGTGCGCCCCTAAACACAGGGCCTCGCACAAACGACAAAACTCACGGCGGTGTATCTTTCCATGTTCTAGTGGAAGATTCACTCCGCGCACCATGAAACAGATGCAGCAATAGGAAAAGGGCCGCTCCACTACTATCGCATGCACAAACGACAAAAATCATGGCGCTGTATCTTTCCAATGTTTCCATGCCCCCCCCCAAAAAAAACCTAACTGAGGAACAGCTGGCAAACAGCACGTGACCTTGAAAGAAGACAAAAGCCAAAAGAGGCCACGGAACTCGAACATGAGGCGGGAGCTTAGCACATGCCAGAGCCACTCCGACGAACGTTCCTGCTGGGCTCACCCCCGGTGTCCCTACTGCTTCCCCAAGACTGGCAGCTGGGCCTCGCAGGAGCGTCTTACGAGACCCGCTGCTAGTTCAAGGAAGAGTAAGGAAAACTGCAACTGCTTTTAAAAAAAAAAAAAAAAAAAAAAAAAAAAAAACACAGAC